GATAACCAGGCTCGTGGCGACTGTTTCAGTCCATAAAGAGACTTACGCAGTCGACATACCTTTCTAGCATACTCCCCCTCACCACGAAAGCCCGGTGGTGCATCCATATAAATAATCTCGTCCAGATCACCGTGAAGAAACGCATTCTTCACATCTAATTGATGAAGAGGCCAAGAGTATTCCGCAGCCAGAGAAATAATTAACCGAACAGTAGTCAATTTTGCCACGGGGGCAAATGTAGCACCAAAATCACGACCTGGTACCTGAGTAAAGCCCTTAGCCACAAGTCTAGCCTTGTAATGATCAATAGTACCATCCGCAAGAAACTTCAGGGTGTAAACCCAGCGACAGCCAACAGGCTTCACCCCTGAAGGTAAGGAGACAAGATCCCATGTATGATTACGCTGAAGAGCGTCCATCTCTGTTTGCATGGCAAGAACCCGCTGGGGCTCCCGCATAGCTTCCGAAATAGAGCGAGGAACCAGCGTATCTGATAAGGCCATAGTATAAGCTCGAAATGTGGGAGACAGATTACCATAAGAAACATAAGCAGAGATCGGATATAAAATCTTTGCGGTCCAACCATATCGATCAACTGAACGGCGATCACGCCTTGGATAACGACGCCCTAAATCACCATCCTCTATTGATAATATCTTATCAGGTAAAGTAACTGGCTCAGCACCTGTAATCTCATCAGTACTAACAACAGGTGCATCAATATGCTCAACAAACTGAGAAGTATTACCTGCATCGCCTGAGGTAGAGGGGATATCAGCAGGGTGATGAGAGCGAGGACAACGAGCATACACATGCAAAGGAAGAGAGACTGGTAACTCTGTACTTACAGGGATGAGTGACTCCTTTGAAGGAAAAACAGATGACCCTGTAGGGATAGTGATCAATGACTCTGACTCTTGTGGTAATGGAAAATCAAAGGGAGTATCATCAACTGGAGGGGCAGACAAATGACTGAAAGGAAAATAAGGAATATGCTCAAGAAAGGTAACATCTAGATTGTGATACATACGACGCCTAATAGGATCATAACATCGATATCCCTTAGATTGATGACAATAGCCCACAAAGATACAACGAATCGCTTTATCATCAAGTTTATGACGAGTAGGAGACCGATCCTGAACAAAATATGTGCATCCAAAAACACGAGGGGGGACCGAAAAAAGTGTCTGCTCAGGAAATAAGACCTGTAAGGGAGCCTTATGCTGAAGAACACGACTCGGCGTACGATTGCACAGAAAGGTAGAAGTCAAAACAACAAAATGCCAATAAGATTTTGGTACCCTCATGCCTCTAAGCAGACAACGTACCATCCCTATCAAACTCCTATTTTTCCTCTCAGCAACACCATTTTGCTCAGGAGTATATGGACAAGTGAGTTGCTGAAGGATACCCTGAGAAGAAAGGTGAGACACTAAAGCATCAGACACATATTCTTTGGCATTATCCGAACGAAGAGCACGAACAATGACATCGAATTGTGTCTTAATCATCTGTAAAAACTGAGTGATTATAGGGAGCACATCAGACTTCCTATGCAAAAGGTAGACCCAAGTACAACGGGTATGATCATCTATAAATGTCACATAATATCTGGCACCTGACAGAGCAGTAACGGGAGAGGGTCCCCAAATATCAGAGTGTATTAGGTCAAATGGCTTGGGTGACTGGTGCATGCGAGGAATATAATTGGCCCTAACATGTTTTGATAGGGAACAGATAACGCAATCAAGTTTACCACCAACACAAGCATTACTCAAAGCAGGAAACAACATACATAAATATTTAAAATTTGTATGTCCAAAACGGTCATGCCACAATTGAACAGTTTGTGACGAAAAATCATAACGACAACTACTAGGTAAAATACTAGCATGCAAGCTAGGAACAGAAAAAGACAAAGCAGGTGCAGGTGAAGGAATTGGTGAAACTGGAGATGGATTGCCAAGATAATACAGTCCATCTTTCTCATGTCCCTTGATAATAATCCTCCTGGTACTCAGGTCCTGCAAATAACACGAATCAGATAAGAATACAACCGCACAGTGAAAATCTCTGGCTAACTGATGTACAGATAATAGATTCATGGCCAACTATGGAGCATGAAAAATCGAATGTAATGTAAGGCCATCTGGGAGACGGACTGTACCCCTACTAACAATAGGGGCATGTGTTCCATCTGCTAACTGAACCTGTGTATGTAATGGCTCGTCAAAAGTGGTGAAGTGATGGGCCTCACCTGTCATGTGACCATTTGCACCCGAGTCCAACATCCAAAGGGGAGATGAACTGGCACAAGCGTGAAAGGCACGAGATATACCTGTAGTGGTGACAGCAGCAGTAGTCAGACTCTGAGAAGTCAGAGCAGACATAAATATATCTAATCGGGAAGTGATAGCATCCATATCACTTTGCCAAGGAGGAGCAGTAGCAGGAGTGGCGGTAGTGGGCGGTGGTACCTCAGCAATAGCAACAGTACGGCTGCGAGAAGGTGGCTTAAGCTCTGGATGGAGCTTCCAGCAAGTAGCCCTAAGATGTCCTGGTCGGCCACAATAATCACATTGACGGGAATCCCCCCGTCTGCGCTGATCTGGGGCGCCCTGACGGCGCTGGTCTGAGCGTTGCCTATCCCTGACTAAGGATCCTGAACGGGACCCTACAGCAGCTGCAAGGGCCATCTGGTCAATCGAAGGAGGCAAAGCTGCAACTGGAAGTGATGCAATACGGACTCGACGCTCATGCTGCTCAATCATCTCATACACCTCATAAAGAGAAGGAAGTGTCAACATCGACAAGATCTGAGAACGAGGTCCCTCAAACTCATCACGAAGCCCCATAAGGAACTTGTGAATCCTATCCTCCTGCTCTCGAGTATGCAAGAATGCTGCTCCCTCGGGCTCTATCTTCGGAATAGCAGCAAGAGGACGTAGAGACTCATACTCAAGCCAGCGCTGGGTCAAATAACCATAATAATCCTGAACGGTCATATCTCCCTGCCGAGCATATGAGAGCTCCTGAGAAAGCTCATAAACACGAACTCCCCGTCCTGACTGAGAATACATCTCTGATAATGCGCTCCATAGCTTCGGAACAGAGCTATGAAACTGGTGGATCCTGCAAACAGAGGGCTCCATTGAGCCAAATAACCATCCAAGAATGACACAGTTTTCAGAGAACCATGCAGAATATCCAGGGTCGGCATCAGCTGGCTTTGGGTGAGATCCCGTCAGCCAACCAAGCTTCCCTACACGGCCTAAGAAAAGTTGGAATGAGCGTGACCACTCAGCGAAGTTACGACCATTCAACAATTGTGCCGTAACTTTTTGAGAGATCATGCCCGGTAATGTTGGTAATGCAACTGTGCTAGTAGGCACTGTATACTGGTCAAACATAAAAGTGGAAGTACCCATAGATGTCTCAATGGTAGAGGTGTCAACAGTAGGGTTCTCAAGTCCCTCAGTAGTAGCCATATCAACAACAATACTAGGGCACCCGTGACAGAAAAATAACTCTAAGATAAATAGAGGAATAAAATAAGGGAGAACAATATACCTTCAGTCGAACAGTAGCGACAAATAGGAAAGGTCCAAAAAGCTCCCAAATAATCAAGTCACGGTGCCCAGAAATCCAAAATATATAAATAAGTGATCTACTGCATCAAGAGCAGATCAACGAAAAAAAAAGATTCAACTCCTCTTACAAGGTCCTATGGTCCCAAATAATCAGGAGCACGAAAGCAAAACACAAAGCTGTGACAAAGAGCGCGACCTAGCAGTGGGCTGGTTCGCTAGAGTGGGTATTATGTTGGGTTTGGGGCTGGACTAGGTTCGTCTTATTGGCAGACTTGGGTGATTTTGTCACTGGGTTGGCTCAATCGGTGTGGAGATGCTGCTTTGTTGTTGGTCACTAGTTTGTTGTTTAATGGGTGCTGTCGGTGCTGTTTTATGGGTGCAGTCGGTGGACTGATTTTGGTTTGGTCTGGTATGTTGGCTGGGTAGTTGGTGAAAGTAAAAAAGGTGGCTGGACAGTCAGTGATTTCTGATTAGTGGGTTTGTCAGTGTGGGTTGCTGGCTGCTGTGTCGGTGGACTGGGTAGTAGGTTTGTAGGCTGGTATCGCTACTGGCAATTCAGGCTGTAGGTGGCTGCTGGGTTGGGCAGATGATGGCTGCGACGTGGAGGAGGGGCTGGTGGTTGCGACGTGAAGGAGTGGAGGCTATCGTCTCGCTGGTTGCGTTGTTTGGTGGAGGCTAATGTTAGAATTAGGGTTAGGGTTAATGGCTCTGATACCAACTTGAGATAGTTGTGAATGAAAAGGGATACTCAAAATAAGAGTAGAATCCCGTATATATATCCAAAAATAATACAGAGTGACTTAAACATCCTTGTAGTTTAGGCAAAATATAAAAATCATAGTAAGGGTAAAAAAGGGAAAAAAAATCCTAATAAACCTAGACTATCTATACTCCAACAGAGGATAAAGTTTATTATTGAGCTGATCTTTTCAATATCATAACACTCAGATGATCATAACTTTTTGCCAATGAAGAAGCTCATTAATGATCTAAACTATGACCAAACAAAAATTAAAGAACTAATTACAGATAGCTAGATTGACTATTCTTGATTTTTTTTAATTCTTAAAATTTTTAGAATAAATACGTAACCTTTGATTGTCAATGTGATGATCCAAATATTCTCCAATATATTTTCTCTTTAATTTTCTTATTAACGTATTATCAGTCATGATGGATGATAGACCACTATCCATTGAGTCATACTTAAATACATGACAGGTGATTTGTTAAGAAACAATTTAAAAAGAAAATGTATAGGAAGGAATGTCATTTTTATGTGCGTTAATCGAGACGTGCAACTTGAACTGGACTCGGATAAGACTCAGCTCAAACTCGAGACTCGACTCATTTTCTTAAAAACGAGTTGAGTTTCAAAATCTCATAAACCCATCAACATCTTCACTTCCCTCTCAAAACCCACCAAAATCTTGATTTCACTTCTCCAAATTCTCCACAGAATCACCCATAAACCAACAAAAAAAAAAAGAAAAGCCACTTCCATCCATTCTCAATTATGCAGTTGGGTCATCTTCTTCTTCGACATTTTCAGGCTCCAAATCGAAGAGACCCGGAAACCAATCCTGAGAGCATTGGATTGGGTGAGTGGGGAAAAAATGGGATATACAAAGTATTTTCCTAACAATGGTATCAGGGGCAACTCTCTAAACGATTGCTATTGTTTTGATTTTTGATGAATTACAAACTCCCTCTTTGGGTTATTTTCTTGATACTTTTCAATGATTATTCATTGGTTCTGGGTGTTTCTGCGTCTGGTTGTTTAATTGTATGATGTAGATGAATGTGATTGGTTTTATTTACCCAATTTTTTTTTTTTTTGGCTATGCATACATTTTCACAAATAAACTGTCCAAGACTAATTATTGTGAAGAGCCAATTGGCTTTTTCTTTGGTTGATAGGTCACAGATCTGGACAACCATTACAAAAACATCCAGAGAGCTTGGGACACAACCTATTCCAAACAAGGTGGTGTGGTGGATTCGTTACATTATAGTTATCTTTTTCTGTTTCTTTTCTATTTGTTTGTTAAATTTATCAGTCAAAGGTATCCCTATTTGGTATAACGTAAAAAAATTGTACAAAATAGATTAAATAGTAGTCCAGTCATACATCTACCAGTAAAATCATAGCACATGTGCTATCATCGATATATTTGTTTGCGTCAATTTGATGATAATCTTTGTGTAAAATACAAACATTAATAATTGCATATTCATTTCAGATATGATAGTTGATCATTTTTGTGACAACCGGGGGTGTGGGTGCATCAGTGCATTGCATGGTCCTAATAGTAGAAGGGAATCTAGAATTGAAGTGAATGCCCTCAGAAGTTCAAGCATCAATCCGGCAGTTTCATATAAAGATTTACTGAATAGTAAGAATGCCTCATGGATAAATGGCTTTTTTTTTTTTTTTTGGTATCTTACAGTTCTTTTGGGGTTAATTTATCTCTCCCTTGATAACTTATGGTCATTGATTTAAAATTTACGTGATCCTTTGTTTTCTTGACTTGGAAATTTCGCGAAGATTGGACCTCTAATCAAACTTTTTTTGAATTTTATAAACGTTACGTTTGTTTAAATCTTAATACTTCGATAGTTGTCTGGCTTTTGAAGTGATTCCATAAGAAAAACGGTATATCCTGCTTCTTGAAGGAGTAGAATTGCAAATTTTGGAAATATTTGCTGTTGAAAATTATAAATTTTTTTGGAAGATGAATGATATCAGTAATTTCAGTTGCTCTTAATTATTAAGATTTATTCTTCCCAAAACATGTTTCCAGGCATCGAAAACTAAATGTTTACTAAGATGGTATTTAACTACTATGACGCACACCTAAAATAATTTTTGACACGTGTTATTATGAATTGAACTTATGTTACATTTTCAATGATGAATGATGGATATGCTAATGACTTTATCAGAAGACACTGACTGTATCCAGAAAAGAAAGTTATTTTGTGTTATACAAGATTATTAGTTGCTATATATCAGCATTTCATTGTAGGAAACAATGTTTTCCCATACCTAATTTTGGGGTGAATGCTATTGAAATTCATTGACAGTGAGATTCATAATCAAATCTTAATGACCAAGATTTGCAGAATGGTGTGAGCAGTATCCATCATTGACAAAACTATTATGATGTGTGTCAGTTTCTGCTCATCCAATGCTGCATAATAGGGCCATTCATGGCATTATCTATACAGAGCGTTCCACCGACTGCCTACCAAAGTCAGAGAACAAGATATCTGTCCTTATCTTTGTGGGGCAATCCCTTTTTTTTGCACCTAAATTCATATCCTCTGTCATCCATTTATATGTTTCTTATGGTTTATTTATTTGTTTTCAGTGTATATTTCTGCTTATTTGGCTGCAAGAAAGCTATGAAACCACATATATGCATCTTCCAGTTGTCAGAAAGGATCTATAACCACTTCTCATGTGAGATAATCCATTCGCAATGACACTTCCAAAGAATTTGTGTGGAGAAAAATAGGCTTTTTTTCCAGTACCTTTTGAAGGTACATGTGTGTGGCTCTTTGGACATCGTGAACTGATATAATGTCTCCTATTCAAAACTAGTTTTTGTTATGGAAATTGTTGATGTTTTCATACCATTGCATTTGTCAGTTTCGTCTATTAGCTTCATCCATAGCCCAAAACTCAATTATGTCTGTTGAAAGCGCAAGTCGAACGTATGAGACTTAGGTCCACAGCTAATTTTTCCAAACTCACCTTATTCAAATACTGTGAATATCTCGTATCTAATTCTCCCCTATGTCAAAAACCAATTACATGATTCACCTTTTGCAACATTTTGTGACATTGGCTGATTATAAGTTTCTAGTCTCAGATGTTTAGGAGGTGGTATCATCTTTGAAGACAAGATTTACCTTTGGCTCAAGTTCAGATTTGGATCTCTTAGAAATTGTAATTAATGAAGACCTTGACTCCTGGACTGCTGGTTGCATCTTCACATGCTATACCTTCAGCAGATGTGTAACCTTTCAATATTGCCGGTTAGCATCAAATTTTCACCTATGTTGCTCTATAAGTTCTCTTATTTGGTATATACTAAAATACTTCCCTGGCGTTGTCCACATTCCCTGATCTGTGTGCAGAGCTATCATAACCTCTATACCATTGTTGTAATTAAATAAATTGAGCTTTACAATTCTACATACATTTCATCTGTACAAGCTGTGCTGAAACTTTAAGATACCAAATGATCATAAATTTGAAGAATATTTCTCAAGGGTATCCTTGATTAGCTAATCTAAATATGATATTTTTCTTGTACAAGTGGAAATAAGTTCACTCTGACAAACAATAATGTTAAAGTAATACGGAATTACATTTTTTTCAGAAATTGCCCAAGCTGGAGAAAAAATATTCAGGTGCGTGGATGAGGCAAATTTGCAGAGCTTTGTCTAATCATTAGAATCAAAAAAAGTTAAGCAAAGCTCAGTTGAAATGAGTGGAGAAACAATTAAAACCTTGTTTTCTTGGTAACCATCACACCATTTCCCATTGTACATAAGTTACACTTTATATAGTTGTTTTGGTGTTTCGTTAATTATTAGTGCACAAATCATATCATACTAAAAGCAATTTTTTTTGTGCAACCGTAGAGAAACCAAAAGGATAAATTCTTACAAGGATATTCATGTATTTGTCAACTTACTGATATTAATGCTTGTTACCAATTGTGCGTGTTCATGTTGTGAAAAAGGTAATTGTTTCAGTAATTGCATTTTTTTTAATATTTGTTTTTTTTCTTTTTTTTAATGTATGTTCATTTATAATAATGTGGTTGACGCATTGTTTTCTGTGGTATTTTTTTTCTTACGATCACTTATCCAATACCTTTAATGCCCCCACTTGGGTTACAGGCTCACGCTACCTGGCCCGACAATGTACTTGTGGATAAATGGATCTTATATATAGAAATATATCCTGAAACGTCGTCGATGTGGGATGGAAGTCAGAAAAACGCAATTCAACTCATATATAGCTGACATCTTAGTGTGGTTGACAAAGTTGATGGAAATCGAAGCAACATCTCAACCATATACATTAACCATTCTTGAGATATACCTAATCATCACTGATCAAGAAAAATGGTGGGGGATTTGAATGGCAATGAGTGGAAAAACAACAAGAGAAATTGTTAGTTGCTTGATAAGAAGATACTATTCATGATTATATAGAAAGTGAATCATCAATTATGTTATATATTTGTTGCGGTATTTGTGAACAAAGTTTTCTTGGTGGTCTGCTCGCCATTTAATTGCAATTAACATCTTGTTTATTATCAGATTGATGGACATCAAATCATGCCATATGATTTTTGGTTGCTTATATTAAGTCGAAGGATAAATCATGATAAACCTCGGCGCATCTTTTATTTTTTCCTTTGAATTTGTCTATCTATCTGTTATTCGGAAGGATGGACTGGATATGATTAGATAAGAACTACGGTGTAGCGTCAAATGCATAGAATGAAAACATGTTTGTACATAGAAAAGCGAACTTGAAACTATGTTTTTGTACAAAAAGCGGCGTATTGAGAACCTCGTGCTAAGATGGGCAAAAATTGTACCAAAATATGTTCTTGTTTTTGTGGAATAAAGGATTCTGTGCACCAACTGGACATTGAAGCAGTGGACCACATCAATAGTAATGGTTGTCAGGAAGTAATGAGGAATAGGTATTTCATTTGGCAGCCTTTTCCTTAATAGCATATCAAAATACTTATGGATTCAATGGATTAATCATGTTTTCTTATTGTTCTTCTTGGTTTTCTTATCTTCTACTCCTGCAGATGATTTTTTCCCAGATTTCTCTGTATTGCTATTTCCTCTATCAAATTTTGCTTTCTTGTGACAATTCGTATACCAATTTACTGCATGATCGTAGTATATATTGAGCAATGCTGTGCATTTTCCATCTCTGCCAAAGTCAAATTGATCTTATTAGGTACTGCTGCAGCTTTGATGAATGGATTAGACGTGTGTACAATGGAATCCAGCACCAATCAGGCTTGCTTTTATTTTATCAGTCAGGATTGACTGATAATCATTCCGATACTTTGGACCATGAGTGTATAAAGCCTGTCGAGGCTTACGTTTCCCTACCATCCAAGATGGCTTGGTTTTCTGGCAACTGTCTTGTCCATTTCTCTTTCTATTCAGCCTCCTGGCATTTTGAAATATATCAGACTCTTTGAAGTTTGAACACGTAACACTTAGACATCTCCTGTAAATATATTCGGTAATAAATTATATTTAGACCCCATAAATTTTGTAGGTATACAATACTTAAACCCCTTAAGTTTAAAATATTATATTTAAATAAAAAAATATTTCAATCAAAAATAATATTAAATATTTTAAATTTTACAACCAAAATTCTTGTTCTATTGTATCATTTATTGAAATAAAATTAAAAATAAAATTTTAATTTTCTTTAAAAAAATCGTAATTAGTATACAATTATACTACCTATTGGAATAGAACTAAAAAATCAAACAAGAGGTCTAAGTCATTCATAATAGAACATAAATTTTACATCTAAAATTCATGTTCTATTATGTCATTTATTGAAATAAAATCAAAAATAAAAATCTAGTTTTTTAAAAAAAAATCATAGTTAGAACATAATTATACTATCTATTAGAATAAAACTAAAAAAAATAAATAATGGGTCAAACTATAATTGACAAAATATCTTTTACCTTTAATTGGGGTAGTTTGGTATTTTGATTTAGTCGTTTAATCGACTAAATTAAATTCTAATAGACAATATAATTGTATACTAATTATAATTTTTTAAGAAAAAATTAAATTTTTATTTGTGATTTTATTTCAATAAATGATACATAGAACATGAATTTAATTGTAAAATTTAAAATATTTGATATTTTATCTTTAATTGAAATATTTTTGGTGTAAGTATAACATTTTAACCTTAAAGGATCTAAATAATATATGTTTACAAATTTCAGGGAGTCTGAATGTAATTTATTAACGAAAATATTTACCGCAAGTCTAAGTTTACTCATGTACAAATTTCAGAAATGTCACGGGGTCTGAGTGATTAAGTGATAAATTTGAGGGGGTCAGGGTGTAATTCTCCCTTTTTTCGGTGGGGAATATGCTGGAGACAAATTTTTTTTTCTTTTTTTTTTTAACGGTGGAGTGTCTGAGTCAACTTATATTACTAATCTCTTTTTGGTCTGGTAAAAAATAAGTCACTTATGTCGGAACTACGATATTTACAAGGATAATTTCCTCATAACCTAGTCTCGAGGGATTGCTAAAATTCGAATTCAAGAGTTTTGAGTTTATAACTCATTCATGTTACCACTTAAGTTAACTTTTGAAGTCGAGGGAATAAATTCAAGTTGTTATGTTTTATTCAATTGATATTATTTCCAAAATCTCGAATCATAAAAAGAAAGGTAAATTTTTTTTATGATCTCATTAATAAACGGGAGAATAATTGCATATTAATGTCTCTCATTAATGCTAAATATGAACGACATCTTATATTTGCATCGGGTCACGATTCATAGAGCGTACCATAGCCAATCCTTCACCTTTTGAGAGTATATTTCCCTATGAACTCCTGCAATGATTAATGTGATGAAATTGATAGTATGGTTGCTAATTTCTGATGGGGAGAGAAGAATATTGAAAGAAGGATACACTGAATAGCTTGGGATAACATGTGTGTAGCAAAATCTCATGGAGGTATGGGATTTAGAGATCTGGGGGCTTTTAATCTAGTTATGTTGGCTAAAAAGTTTGGAGGTTGGTTAAACATCCTGAGTCCATGCTTTATAAAGTTTTGCAAGCCAGGTCTTTCCTACCTCTACTTTGATGGAAATCTAGGTGGGAATGCGATGGCGAATGAGAGATGGTGGAAGTGTTTGTTTGAGTGAAGAATGATAGGTGGATCCCTAGGCCTTTTCCTTTCAAGATTATTAGCCCATTACCAAAATTGGAGGAGGGTTTCTTGGTAAGCTTCTTAATCGATCATTTTCCAAGTGATCAATTGGTTTGACACTATAAAATAAATCTTTCTACAATGTGTGCACCAAATACCCATAAAGTTAAGAAACTTACAAAAAACAATACAGCAGCCTATTTATACTATGTTACTGCATGCCCATCCCGTTGAAGCTTCAGAACCGAGAAGAAATACATGGGCTTAAAGATCTCTTTCCTGTAAACCCAATTAATAAGATGATGTTAGTCCCAAATCTAGAGAAACCATCAGAAAGGTAGAAAGTAGTTCAAAGAAGGGAAAATTACACTTTGACCCCATTAACCATAGACTCAATTTCACTTTGCAGCTTTAACTACTAAATTTTTCATATCCCCCCCCAGCCCCCCCCCCAAAAAAAAAACAACTACTTGAATTGAATCTACACCATCCCAAACGCAGATGTCCATTATTTGGACGAAAATTATGCCGGGGGCAAAGTGAAACAAATTTGAGTGGAGATACTTCTTACTGTCCGCCAGCGAAAAGCCCTCCTGCAGCTTTGGGTTCGAGAATTTGGATCGTCAACCCACCCCATTTGAGACGTGCGACCTTGATTCGTGGGATGATTGGGGCATTTATGATCCGGGTAACTGTGTGATCCCCTGCCAGATCATTCTCCCATGTAACCTTCATAGACAAAAACAAATCATCCTCATTTTAGTCATATTGACAGTCTACTTGAATGTGAAAGGGAGATCAAGTAGAAAATAATTAATTTGCAACTCACTTCAAAACCTGCCAGCTTCAGAGCTTCAAGGCACTGCCTTGTCAACTGGATCATCAGGGAGGCCATCACCAATCTTGATTTCTGCCTCTTTCCATGAAATTGTGATGCAAAGAAGAGTTGAGAACAATTCAAGAGTAAAACTAATCAGAAAGGAAAATGAGGATTTTCCTGCACTACCTTTATTTTTTTTGGTGTTTTTGGTTATTGGTGTAAAAGTACGCTGCAAAACACTTACCAGACTTCAATAACCGATATATTTCTTCGTAGCAACCAACCTTCCAACAAAAATGTATGGTAAGCCAATGAATGTAAAGTGAAATAAGAAATAATAAACACCTTGGAGTTATATTATCCCTAACAAAAAATAAGTAAGGAAAATTTTTAAGTCAAGAGTGAGAATCTAAAAGTAACATACCGTGTCTAGAGCATGGTAGGTAGCCTCGATTGCATATACGGCATCAAAACTATTTTCAGGAAATGACATTTTCATGAAATCATGCTACATTATCACTGAACAATAGTCGAATCACAACAAAAAAAGAAGTTCAGTGGGAGCTGCAACTGAAGTAGAGCTACTAGTCATCAATATTAAAATCATCCTCAGAGCCAACTCTTGGACATAAACGAGTAAATGAAACTAAAGGAACTTCTCTGAACCTTTCCAAATAGACTTGAAACCAAAAGAAAAGATAAAGGCACTAATGATGCCACAAAAGCATTAAAACATCACTTTTACCTGCATCAAGCAACTCCCCTTAGTGGTCCACCAATTACACATCTAACATTCAACACCTACAATGATAGCATAAGGATTGAACAACAATATGAAATGGCAAACCCAATCAAAAGTTGTGTCACTAAATTGACATTGTTAAACTACAATCAATTGAAGAATTAACACCTTCAGTCATGATTTCAGGCTTAGTTGTAAAGCAAGGAAGTGCACATGTTTTTAATACTCTCTCGAAGAGACTCTGCTTTTCATCTGCAGACTACAAATATAATCCTCGTGATTAGTAACTTATTAGAAGCTGTCGTGGAACACATAACAATGTATGTGTTCCACAACTAAAATAGCTCGAACACATAACACATATTACTTGACACAAATAACTTGAATCTAAAATTGATGTAGAAGATGAATGCAAGATTTGAAGACAACAATAACGACCTTGCGCAAAATGGAATGATTCTCCCAGCCATATTAATGGAAGCTGGTAACTAGATCATAGTATTTATCAACCTGGAAGCCCCATAAACCTATAATTAGATTCCAATTTTACAGCAAGAAAAGAATGCACAAGACCACTTTCTGTGCTATAGAAGAGCATCAGCTGAAATGGGCCTAAGGGTTGTCAGGATTGAGTAAGAACATTGTTAATGAATTTGTCCACCTCATCATTGCTAAGTTGCCAATTTCCTCTGTTTATAAGTTCAAGTTAGGTCAAACATTTGTGGAACTACTGCCTTTCTACACAATGGTGAGGCATAACATACTCATCTTAAGTTCCAAATTAATGACTTCGAGTATTTAAACTTTTTTGTCTTAAGATCGCAACATAGTTAAGCTTAAGTATTAGTATCCATAGGAAAAAGCAGTCTATGAACTTGCCCTTTCTTGCAGCTACATATCTCATCTTCATACAACAAGCGCTGTCACAGACATCTCATCTTCAGATCCCAAAATAAGACGTAAGAATGTACCTTTCCCTGTGCTATCTGATATTCATTGTTGTTAAGGCCTGTAAGTCTAACTGATGTAGAGCTGCAAGTTACCAATTTACAAATCAGTCTCAGAGACAACTCTTGGTAATAATAGAACAAATGAACTAGTGGAACTTCTTAGAACATTTTCAAATAGACTTGAAAATACAAGAAAAGCTAAAGGCGCTAATGACAGTACAATGATCACACCACAGATAAAAACAGTCAAAAGATGACTTCAGAAATCCATGACCGTTGTAGTCATGAAGCAAAAACAGTCCACAAGATCCACTGCCGGCATTAGTTGTTTGTAATAAATAACATTCAGTTGCGTTACATTATCATCCTATGATAGGAACTTTAAACAAGAAGGAAAAGAATTTTGTATGCCATCATAATTTGCAAAGTACTACTCCCATTTAACATTAGAACAAAAGAAATCCAAGCAGGACATGGCCATGCAAATAAGATTGCTGCACATCTTCGATTACATCTACCTACCAAAATAACAAGAATATCTTCTATAAGGTCATATGGTAAACAATAACTAACCCAGAAATGAAGATCCAATTCATAGTGAAATTATGAATCATCATTTAATTGAATTGAGCAATTTCCTTTAATGGTCCACCAATTCCACATCCTGCATCAGACACCTACAATGTCAGCAAAAGGATTAAACAACTCACAACATAAAACTGGGTCATTTCATTGACAATGTTTAAATTACAATCAAAAGAGGGATTACGACCTTTTGTCCCAGTTTTAGGCCTAGTTGTAAAGCAAGGAAATGCTCATGACGCTTGATGCTCTCTCGAAGAGACTCTCCTCTGCAGTTGCAAGTACAAATGTAATCCTCTAGATTGTGACACAATTAACAAATCAGAAAAAAAAAATCTTGCGAATTGTGTCTATCCGAAAAATTGCAAGAAAATTTTAAAACTGAACAGTGCACTTAGTTGAGTAAATATACAGAATTAAGTCAGATTTCAATAGAAAATGTTAGAAGAAGTCTTCTTACCTTGGTAGTGTAGTTGGCCTTTCTCTCCTCCTCCTCAACTCTATCACAGACATGATACTTCTCATACCTGAATCATCAAACCTAAACTAATATAAAAAATTGAAATACACCAACAAAAAATCAAGCTACAGAATTCTTATCAACAACCAAAAAGAAATCCCAGAAGACTTTGAACATTTGAGATGCAATATAGCTATTTTTGTGTACACAGCACAAGAATACCGATAATTTATTTACAGAAAATAATGAAAAATTACAATAAGAACATAATTTTCTATTTTTTATAAAGTGGCCTTTTGGGAAAGAGTCTAGTGCTAGACACTCTACTCCACTTTCACCAAAGTTGTTGTTATTGCACCAAGTACTAGCCCCTCAAACAGCACGAGGAACATTAAGTCATTAACGGTGTTTCAAGTATTTGACTTAAAAAAGCGATGCACATAGAGTCTAATGACTTAGTAAATGATGAATATCAATACATTGTCATATCCCAAAACAAAACTGAGTTCCTTTTTTTATGCTTGGGGAAATGCTCCCACAAAAATCCTTCGCCAGGCATGTTCCAGATATCGAGTATGCAAGTACTTTGAGAGAATATTGTATGGCCTCAAATCTCAAATGTGAATATGATGATGCCACAAAGCATATTCAGTTTCACTCTCAATTTAATTAACATCCAAGAGATTTTACTTTCCGGGAAAAACAACATTCAAGAGTGCTACAACTTCTCTTACATTTTTTGTTGAACCTCATTCTCTACTTTGTTTATGAGCTTAGAAGAGCGACACTATCTAACCATAAATAAAAATACAAAATAAAGATATGTAAAGAATTCTGTGAACAGCCATTCACACCCCTAGTTAATACATAATTGCAAAATCCAAATGAAAGAAGGGGGGAACTTTATCCCAGAGAAGAGTGAAATTCCCTCTTATTGAAATGAATATTATAACCGTCCAACCAACTTTACTATTTACTGTTGAGCATAGAGGTGCATAAACTGTGATGCTATGATATTTTTATTTTTTATTTGTTTTTTTTTATTCAGTGATGCTGATAAATTGGTAAACCAAATATAGGTAACATACTAATTGTCAAGAAATTAAATCCTATATGTAAAAGATATGACCAACCTCATTGTTGAAGTGCTCATTAAAATAGTCCCCCATGACAATCTGCAATCACCAACACAAATAAGAAAATCGAGCTACATACTGAGTGGCAGGGGAATGCATGTCAAAATGAACATTAGGTGTATTTTTGACTAATAATGTCCACATGCCAATGGATTTTGGGACAATGTGAAAAAAATAATTTAGCAGAACTCCAGTCACTGTTCATCCAATCAGTATAGCTGACCCGATAAAATGGAAAAATTGATAGTAGAGACCGTAAGGGTTTGTGGTTTGTTTGTTTAGCAGGAGAATGGTAGAAAGTATAAGAAAAAAATTTTTTTAAAATTTTAATGAGTTTGGTAAGCATGAAAAGGAAAATGATAGAAAATATAATTTTCTTTCTTCTTGAATTTTCTCACAAATAACTAATTTTTTTTTTTTTTGTAAAAAATACAAGGAAATGTAAGAAAGTTGTGATTTATAGCTAACTTCTCATTTTACCCTTATTTTTCTTAAAATATTTTATTAGTTATTAATTTAAAAAAAAATTGGTATGAATTTGATTAATCATATGATTTGACTCAAAAACCTTTGTCTTGGTGATTGTCTTAGAATTAGGTTTCGAGCTACTTTTTTAAAAAAATTTAACGTTTAATTATAATTACATATTTTTTTCTTTTTAGACCAATTTAATATAATTAAGGATAATTTAGAGAATTACAAAAAAAATTTTATAACTTCACCTTCTTTCAAATAATAAAATAATTTTTTTAAAATTTTCTTGTAAATTTTTCATTCTAACCAAATACATACATAAAAATATATTTTATATCATTTTTTTTTTTCACTTCACTTTATATAATTTTCACTTTCCTCCGATTTCTTCTTCCTAACCAAACGGAGCCTAAAAGGAAATTTTGGGCCATAGTTTTGGTGTGCTAGCTGTAATTTTTTTCTTCTTCACGTTATACACTTAATCCCTAAAACACTAGAGAATAGGATCAAACAAATTAAAAGAAGAGACATGTGTGATGAATGGAACCTGACTAAGCAAGTGAAGATGGACTCTGCAGAAGTGATCCTTATCCTCTGAAGAAGCCCACCTTAAATAGAACTCTCTATAATAACACAAGGGATGTCAGCGATCTTGTGCCAATCTGCTCCTTTATCCTTCAAACACCGTTGTTCAAGAAGTGGACACTCTCTGATGATTAGCTTTGAGAGTGTGTCGAGTGTCCTTTTGTCAGGCAAGGAACGAAGATTAGGGCAATTGCCGATATACAGGTAATCAAGAGAGGAGAGTGTGGCGAGTGTCCTTTCGTCAGGCAAGGAACGAAGATTAGGGCAATCTTGGATATACAGGATATCAAGAGAGGTGAGGTTGTGGATACCCTTAGAGAGAGAAGTGAGGTTAGGCATGCCTCCGATGGAAAGTGATGTTAGAGTAGAAGGAAGCCAACACTCATCCGGCAAGGAATGTAGCTCTGGATACACTTCAATCATTTCAAACCTTCGAAGAGAAGAGAGTCTGTGGAGGCCCCACTCTGATAGAGGCTTCAATTTTTTGCAATTTCTGATCCAAATATGTGTAAGGTTGGGGGGCAAATTCTCTTGAGGAAAGGACTCAAGATTATCACAATTAGTCATCCACAACCGTTCAAGGGATGTGAGGCTTTGAAACTTGCTTGCAAAATAAATGTCATTCGCAATACCACTGATACGAAGCCTTCTGAGGTTGGGAGTAATCAAACTACTTCCTGTTGGGAACGGTTGTCCCTTCTTATAAGACAAATCACAATAAAAATCCGGCTTAGATACAAATAACTTCTCCAAATTTGGGCAATCACTGATCCTAAAACATCCTGGCTCCTCCATGTTCAGTCTGATTGGCTCTAAAATTGACTCTAATTCCCTACAATTATTAATCTGAAGTGACGTAAGGGTGGAGGAAAGTGTATCCATTGGCAAGGATCTCAGAGACGAGCACTCCTTGAGGCACAACTCCTCAAGACAAGAGTTGCAATTAGGCAGGGACTCTAGTGAACTGCAGTCTGTTAACCAAAGACTTATAAGCATGGGCGGGAGATTGCCCTCTGGAAAGGACACGAGCTTTGGGCACTTGTCGAATTTCAATACTTTGAGAGAAGTATGGCTTTCCAGACCATTTGGCAACCTCTCCAGACAATCGCAGCCAGATACTCGCAATGATTCAAGATTACGAGGTAGCATTTGATCTTCTTCAGTCAAGCACACAAGTTCGGAACATCCCTCGACACTTAAGTGTTGCAAATGGGAAAGGTGTTGTGGTGTATTCCCCTTCTGCCACAGAGTCACTAGTGCAGCACAGTCACACACGTCAAAATTTTCAAGTGACACCAAGAAATGAGTGAATTCTTCCTGCAAATGGGTCAGTCCCGAAATATCCTTAATATACAATTTCCTTAGAGAGGTTAATTCAGTGAGACCTTTTAGAACCACCTCTCTACAACCTTCTATCTTTAATTTGAAAGAGAAGGAAGCCTTAGGACCGAGACACTTACCAATTTAGGACACTTGGCCATGGTAAGCTGACGAAGGCAAGGGAAATGTCCTACAAATTCAACACCAATACAACTACACCATCCTTCCCATTCCGGCATATCCTCAAAGCTTAGAGTCTCGAGTGACGGGAATCGAGTCTCTAATGAGCCACCATCCCCGTAGAACTCGGCTCCCACGTTCTTTACTGCATGCATGCCTTGAATGTGTAGTTCTTTCAACAGAGGTAGCTGACCCAGTGGTGGCAAAGACGCACATTTTGTACATCCTTTTAGACTAATCTGCGTTGTTTTTGAGAACGACAGATCCCCAATCCAACTGGGGAATGTTACGCCCCTGTAAAACTCAATTTTGAGATGTTTCAATCCTTTATGCGGCCGTAGCATGTTGAGTACGTTGGCTTGGAGCTCTTCATTTTGAGAATCTTCATCCTCACTACTCCATAGCAATTCTAACTCATCAAGATCCCGCTTACGATTTATATTGGCATCCTCTGCATCCCGCACATCCTTAACGTTTTGCAATCCTACAATGGAAAGCATCCCCCGTAAAAGTGCTAGGTTGTTCAAATGGTTAAGTCCCAATCCACCACTTTTACACACAACAAACTTTGGCAAAGTTTGCAAACTTTTCAGCTTACTAATCTCGGGGGGCATCTCTTGTAATTTTTGAGTATCAGCATTGTCAAGATGACAGAGGTTAACTAAATTTCCAATGTCTGCGGGCAGCTTACAAAGCTCCTGACAACCACGCAACAACAATGTCTGCAAATTGTAGAGACCATTCACTGATTCAGGCAACCATTTAATTGATGTCCCTGATAAATTCAAGTACCGAAGATGTTTCAAATCTCCAATCGAGTTGGGTAACTCTCTTATATTATACCCACTCATAGATAAGACTCTTAAGCACAACAGTTTTGGCAGGATGTTGACTAAAATGCTATCACTTAAAGAGCAGCCCGAGTGTAACCTGTTAACTGGCAGTGCTAAGAATGTCCGCACGGACAGAAGTTCATGATCAAATGCCTTGAATCTGTTGTACACTTCATAGTTATGGCGCATGAATGCCGAGTGGCGAGCCTTCGGAGAAATCCTACACCGTTCATTGTTGTCCATATTATCTTCCAGCCTAAAGCATATTTCTCCCGTAACATGTTGAGCTAAATCATTCAAAAGGTCATGCATCGTGAATTTTGATTCCGTATTACTTGAAAGTTGGAAGAATGACCTTGATAACAACTCATTGAAGCAATCATCACCTAACTCTTCCATGCGTTTCCTCATTCTTTGCGGTTGTTGCAGAAATCCTTCTGCCATCCATAACAAGACTAACTCGTCCTTGTCAAACCAGTAGTCCTTCGGAAATATGGCGCAGTATCCAAACATCGGCTTCAATTGAGAAGGTAGGTGATGATAGCTTAATCTCAGAGCTGGAAGAATGCCGCTCTGATCCTCAGGTAAATCCCAGATTTCACTGTCAAGTACATCTTTCCACTCATTTGAGCTACGTTTACTGCGCAAGATGCCACCCAGGGTCTTGGCTGCTAACGGCAAGCCTCCACACTTTTTCATTATAGCCAGGCCAATTTCTTCCAAATTTGGATGGGCACCAAAATTGCTTGTACACAACGCATGTTGAGCTAATAAAGATAAACAGTCATCATCGGCCAACACCTTTGGATTGTAAGCTGGGACGGAACCCATGGTTAATGCAATGCGTGCATCTCGAGTTGTAACAATAATTTTACTTCCAGGTGCTCCAACTCGAAAAGGAGCACGCAGGAGATCCCATTTTACGTAGTCCAGATTCCAAACATCGTCTAGAACAAGGAGAAATTTTTTCCCAGAAAGTTTCTCCTTAAGACTTACTTGCGCCGTATCCAAGTTCTTGAAGTCACAAGTCTCATTGGACACTGATTCATAAATTTTGTTTGTTATCATGAGCTCATCAAACTCCTCAGAAACACACACCCATCCTCTCAAGTCGAATAAATCCTTGACTTTGTCATTGTTGTACACTAGTTGAGCAAGAGTGGTCTTGCCGAGACCCCCCATACCAACTATTGAAATGACGGATGGTTCATCATTACTTGATTCATTGTTGAGCAACAATTCAAGTATTTCTTGTTTATCCTTTTCCCGACCGTAAACGTGGGACTCGACCACCAAGGAAGTAGTCGTTCTCTTTGTTTCTGTGTTCGACCTTACTTCAGGATTGACTTTCAAACCCAGGGCATCCCTTTGTTTTGCAATATCTTCTAATCTAGCAGTGATTTCCTCAATCTTGGGGCCCAATTTGATTTTGAGCCCAACAGATCTTTGGAAATTACTACAACAAGTAGGGAGGAAGCTCCGAACCTTGCTTGTGGAAGCCTCAGGCTCCGAATTCACTTCATGTGCCAAAGCTTCAGTCTCAATCTCGTCCACCAGATCATCCACATCGTAAGCCAGATCCCTCAGTTCCGCCAACCACAGTTTCACAGTTTCGTCCCTTATTTGCTTAGCCTCGGCATCGTTGAGCACCGCTCTAATTGTCGGTAGCAGTTTGTGCAATTTCGTCAACTGAGTAAAAATCCCCTCGCTGCGAGCAAATTTCAACAGCTCGCGAGAGGCCAATCTGTCAAACAGCACACTTAAGAACGCACCCAGAAAAACTTCAATGATAGGCATTGGTATCAAGTTGAGCAAATCTGGGAAGGATGGGTTTCTTGTACCTCAAAGGTGGTTAAGGCCTCAAGTCAAAGTGATGAAAGAAGGAAGGAGTTGTTAAGTGGTTTGTGCAAGGACTTAGTTGGGTCACTGGTTTTTCATATGTTTGAGAGGGACATATACATAGAATAGAAAACGCAGTTGTCTGCATTAATTGAATATTTCATGTAGGATTTGTAGGAGGCTGTTTTGTGTATCAAATGGTATTTTTTTTTTTTTTGTGTGTAGAGACCAAATGGCCAAACTGGGTGACAGACAAGAGGAAGTGGTGATCCTACGCCGTCCACCACCATGAATGACGGGATCACAGCCCTTGGATATGACCTAGGGTGGCCTTGTAAAAAGAAAAAAAAAATTATTTTCATCTTTGTGCAAGTTACATGTTTATCACTATTGGTTTTTTCAAAAAGAACCATTGATGGGCATTTTGCCAAAAAATAGGGGTAAATCTCACAAATCAACCAGATTAATCGATAAATGATATAAATTTTGTTAAGATTAACGGTTAAATGAAATATAATTTGTTAAGTTTAACCGTCAGTCTGTTTAATTTAATGATTAATCTTAACAAAATAGGCAATTGAAATAAATTACATAGTGCATGGGATAAATTAGGATAATATAAATTTCATGGGGCAATTTTAAACAAAAGTGATGGTAAATTTACCCAAAAAAAATAACAATAGTATGCACCAAGGGGGCGTCCAAGCACGGTACATGACTACGGAGATTTATCTGTCCCTACTCCAAATTTAAGAAACAATATATCTTGAAGAAAATAAGTTATTTATGCATCAAAAGGTTGTCCTAGAATAATGATTTGATTAATCCGAACTCTTCTTGATTTTAGTTCATTCAAACCTGTTCAAATTGAAAAAAATGTCAAATTAATCGGATTTCAAACTCGTTTATTAAATCATACGAATTTAAGAAATGAGTGACTCCGCTCAGCTCAAATAGGTTCATGGCTAGAAGAAATTTTAAATTTATTGCCAAACAACTAGTACGAGTAACGAGAATACCAAATTTTAATCCCCAATAACATCCCCATCTCTTCTCTTTTTAAGCTTCTAAGATTTATTCCATGGAAAAAAAAAAGAGAGCATTTGATAATATACCTAATTGTACCGATTTAGGGGTTATTCTTGACATTAAAGGATTGATAATCAAATTCTAAGATTTAATTTTCTAAATTTTTTGCTAAAAAATCACGTTGATTTGATTAGAGGGTTAATTACAAAATATTCTCTTCAACTTTGAGTAGTTTGTCATTCACTCTTTCAAGTTTTAATTTCCATAAATATCCCCTTTTAATTATTGTTGGTGTTGGGTGGAGGTGGAGGTGTGCGGTCTATTATTGTTGGGCTAAACAGACGTAATTTTTTTGTTTGACTTTTTCATTTCCTTATTTTTTAGGAATAGAATTGGTATTTCAAATATCCTTTACAAATTAAATGGAAAGTTATTTCACTCTCCCTCAAACTATGTGATTCTATTTTATTTTGCTTCAAAAATTAAGGAAACATAAACGTTTCCCTCCCATGCAAAACATAGCAGATGTTCTATTTTGAGACAATGTCATATCAAATCAATTCAGTTAGTCGAGGGAATAGTATTAGGAATTTGGGCAACATATATTTTTGTTTCACAAATTATGTACTTTGTGTCAATTTGGTCCACGACCTTTTAATTGTATCAATTTAATCTCTTAAATTTTTAATTTGTATCATTTTGGTATAATCAAAAATTACAGTTTAAATCAATTTTTTTATCAAAGGATTCACATCTAATATTGAAAATATGAATGTAATTATTTTTCAGTACTATATCTTTTTTCTTTTTTTTTCGTTTGTTGCATTTTTCATTTATCCGAGGGAACAATAATACTTGCGTTAAAATTATACTTGCGTCCTCTCAACAACTTAATACATTTTCATTCTACTTTAGAAAAGTATATGAAAAAAGCATCTTTAATACAAGCCTTAAAAGCATGAGCACTTCCTTTTCTTTGGCCTCTTTAATTCAACATCTTGCTCACTTTTTCAAAAGGTGATAGAGATTGTCCCTCATTTTTCAAAAGAATTTGTCGATTTTCTTGTCACTTGTTCCATCTTACAGTAAAACTTTAGTGAGAGACAACTGTCCATCTTTTTCGTTTGTCATTTATGTGTTTGCGTTTGGGTGTGTGAGCATAGTCTTACCAAATAAAAGTTATAAAAATAATTATCAAAATAGTGATAAAACACCCAGAAAAGTGATAATATTTTATCAAAGAAAAATAATAAAAATAATTACTATAACAATGGTAAAAATACCAACAAAAATAGTAAATCAATCACAAAAAAGTGATAATTGATTAATGGAGATAGTCACATGCAAGTAAGTGAAAGACCAAAGCATCCCAAATGTGATCACATGAGACGCATATGAACACTTTGTTAGTTATCTTAAATTGTTGTTTCCAATTGAACCAAAATAATAGTAATTAAAATGCTTTGCATTTTCGTGTGTGCAGGCCAAACATATTTTTTTATCAAAGGATTCACATCTAATACTGAAAATATGAATGTAATTATTTTTCAGTACTATATTTTTTTATTTTTTTTTTTTCGTTTGTTGCATTTTTCATTTATCCGAGGGAACAATAATACTTGCGTTAAAATTATACTTGCGTCCTCTCAACAACTTAATACATTTTCATTCTACTTTAGAAAAGTATATGAAAAAAGCATCTTTAATACAAGCCTTAAAAGCATGAGCACTTCCTTTTCTTTGGCCTCTTTAATTCAACATCTTGCTCACTTTTTCAAAAGGTGATAGAGATTGTCCCTCGTTTTTCAAAAGAATTTGTCGATTTTCTTGTCACTTGTTCCATCTTACAGTAAAACTTTAGTGAGAGACAACTGTCCATCTTTTTCGTTTGTCATTTATGTGTTTGCGTTTGGGTGTGTGAGCATAGTCTTACCAAATAAAAGTTATAAAAATAATTATCAAAATAGTGATAAAACACCCAGAAAAGTGATAATATTTTTATCAAAGAAAAATAATAAAAATAATTACTATAACAATGGTAAAAATACCAACAAAAATGGTAAATCAATCACCAAAAAGTGATAATTGATTAATGGAGATAGTCACATGCAAGTAAGTGAAAGACCAAAGCATCCCAAATGTGATCACATGAGACGCATATGAACACTTTGTTAGTTATCTTAAATTGTTGTTTCCAATTGAACCAAAATAATAGAAATTAAAATGCTTTGCATTTTCGTGTGTGCAGGCCAAACATATTTTTTTATCAAAGGATTCACATCTAATACTGAAAATATGAATGTAATTATTTTTCAGTACTATATTTTTATTTTATTTTTTTCGTTTGTTGCATTTTTCATTTATCCGAGGGAACAATAATACTTGCGTTAAAATTATACTTGCTTCCTCTCAACAACGTAATACATTTTCATTCTACTTTAGAAAAGTATATGAAAAAAGCATCTTTAATACAAGCCTTAAAAGCATGAGCACTTCCTTTTCTTTGGCCTCTTTAATTCAACATCTTACTCACTTTTGCAAAAGGTGATAGAGATTGTCCCTCGTTTTTCAAAAGAATTTGTCGATTTTCTTGTCACTTGTTCCATCTTACAGTAAAACTTTAGTGAGAGACAACTGTCCATCTTTCTCATTTGTCATTTATGTGTTTGCGTTTGGGTGTGTGAGCATAGTCTTATTTGACTTAGGAGTTGATCCAAAAAAAAAAAAAAATGGTACCATATTAATATTTGTCGTTTTTGTGCTTATTTTTATTATTGTTGTGTGTGTTTTTATCATTAGATACCAAATAAAAGTTATAAAAATAATTATCAAAATAGTGATAAAACACCCAGAAAAGTGATAATATTTTTATCAAAGAAAAATAATGAAAATAATTACTATAACAATGGTAAAAATACCAACAAAAATGGTAAATCACTCACAAAAAAGTGATAATTTGTTTTTGTTATAAAATAACCCACAAAAATTATAAAACTCCTATTCAAGTAATAAAATTTGGAGGTACAATAGTAATTTTTTTTTTCAATACCGTAGTCAAGTCCCTCGGGGCTAGTTTGTTTCAAGTATAAGATTTAAGTGGTATAAGATTTTATATTCATTCCACTCCAATTCAATAGTATATTATACCCGGTGTTAAACTATAATCTCTTCCTTCTCCTTGTTTGTTTATCACAAATATTATTTGTGTAATACCTACTTAAAAAAGTCAACAATTGCTGTTAATCAATGTAAAAGACAATTTTAACCTTTAAAAAGTCAAAAATTGCGGCTAGGCTTTTATATGGGAATTGTACCGGAGAGCATTTCGGTCTTTTTAGTTTGTAATACTTATACCAAGAATATAATACCACCCCCTATGTGGAATTCATTTAGATCTTTTACAACGCATTATGGCTATTATTCATAGCGGGTCGATATTACGATCCGAAAAATAGTACTGACTATAAAATACCAAATAAACAATGTATAAGATGGATCCCACGTATTATTTTCATATTACCATCTCCTTATATCACTCTAATACTCAAAACAAACGGCCACTTAAAATAAAGAAAAAGAATATCGTACCCAAAAATCTTTTCGATATCAAGCTAGAAATTACTATGATGGAGAGTGAAGTTATACTTTTTAAAAGTAAAATTATAATTATGTGACATCGATCATGAAATGTTAAAATTGATTGTACTATATTTTTATATAAAAAGCGCTAGGTTTGAGAAACGGTATAGAGTAAAATTCATGTTTTTTTTTTATATCTTATTTGAACCTAATGTTAAGATGGGCAAAAATTGTACCAATATATGTTCCTCTTTTTTGTGGAACTAGTAATATGCACGTGAATAAATTTAAATAAAAAAATTTTCATAAAAAATTAAATTATATGTATAATAAATTATATATTTTTATTTTAATTATTGTCAAACTTAGTTATTTATATATTCTACCTCTCTTCAAGTATCTAATATATTATTTATTTAAATATCTCTCCGATCTCTTAGATATTTCTTATTTTATTTATAATGAATCTTTAATGTCAAATTGTCATTATTGAGATATTACATTTTTTTAGGGTAAAAAAAAAACTTGAACGAAAGGGCTGTCTGATAACATTACTTAATGCTTAAAATTGAATACTTTAGATACTTAATGAATTAAACTCGTTTGATAACCTAAAACTCATACAAATTAATATATTAAACACTTCTTAAAAATAAGTTAAAATTTTAAGTAGCAAGCCACATATTTATCATTTAATACTGAAAATGTTTAGTCAGTAAATATTTTATCAATTTTACATAATAGACAAATATACCTTCAATGCATTTAACATTCTTAACTTTTCAATATCCACCATCACCACCACCACCAACACTACCAATGTGTCACTGCCACCATTACCATTATCATCACCACCATCGTCGCCACCACCATTTTGTCTTTACCACCATTACCATTATTGTCAGTCTCACTTTAACCCCTATATTTTTACAGATTGCATTTAATCCCCTTCAACTTGTGAACAAACTGTAAATCTAACAGAATTTATTTATTGTAACAGTGCAGTAATTGCATGCTCATATTATGAAATAAATATTTTTTTTTCTAAATTAAAAAATTAAGTTATCAATTTTACCCTTCATCTTCCTCTCTCTCTCTCTCTCTGTCTCTTGACTTGCAAATTCATTTTCGACCCATCAAACCACTTGTTTTTTCAAATTTAAGGTCATTTTGAACTCCTTGACCCCAAATTATTTAGGCTCAATCCCTTTTTGAAGTTTTAACAAGTTTTTCAAAGTTGATTAACTTATCTAAATATGAAAATTTTCGCCTAGAAGGGGAAAGAAAGTGCACTTAATTGGTGTTGTTTAAATGAAGCTAAATGTATATATATGCAAAATTTGCTAAACATGTTTCGAAATGTCTTTTAGGTCTCTGATGAGTGACGAACTTGGTTGTTGAAATCAATCAAGGCCACTAACCCTTCTTCCCAACGCCAAGAACAACAGGGTTTTCCTCAGGACCCATTTTAGATTAGCATTCATCAAGCTAGAAGGGTTCTTGTTTGAGCACTTCAGAGATGCCACTGACCTCTAACCTGGCACATGGTCTCTCGACTCTGACAAGCAATAACGTTACTGTAATAAGAAATTACGTTTTTCTCAGAAATTGTCAGAGTTGATGACAAGCTCGAGAAAAAATATTCGGGCATGTAGATGAGGCAACATTGCAGAGCTTTGTCTAAGAATCAAGAAAAATTTGAGCAATGCTTAATTGAAATGAGTGGAGAAATAACAATTAAAACCATGTTTTCTTGGTAATCATTCCAACATTTTCCACTGTACATAAGTTACCCTTTCTATAGTTGTTTTGATGTTTCATTATTTATTAGTACATAAATCATATCATAGTAATAGCATTTTTATTTTGGTAATGTAGATTAACCAAAAGGATAAATTATTCTAAGGATATTCATGTATTTGTCAATTTACCGATATTAATACTTGTTACTAATAATTGTGTGTTGTGAAAAAGGTAATTGTTTCAGCAATCGCATTTTTTTAATTTTTTTTTTTTTGGGTGTTTGTTTATTTAAAATACTGTGGTAGACACAATGGTTGATGTGGTATTTTTTTTTTATTTTTACAATCACTTATCCAATACCTTTAATGCCCCCACTTAGGTTACAGGCTCACGCTACCAAGCCCGGCGATATAATTGTGGACAAATGGATCTTACATATAGAAATATATCCTGAAATACTGTCGATGTGGAATGAAAGTTAAAAAAACGCAACTCGACTCCTATAGTGCTAGCATCTTAGCACGGTTGTCATACGTTGATGGAAAGCGAGAAATATCTCAACCATATAAATTAATCATTCCTGAGATTTACCTAATCACTGATCAAGAAAAATAGTGGAAGACTTGAATGGAAATGAGTGAAAAATAACACGAGACATTCTTACTTGCTTGATAAGAAGATACTATTAATTATTTTCCAGGGAGTGAATCATCAATTATGTTATATATTTGTTGCTGTAGTTGTCAACAAAGTCTTTTATTGGTAGTTTGCTCACCATTTAATTGCAATTAACATCTTGTTTATTATCAAATCGACAGACATCAAATCATCAAAGGATAAATCATGATACACCTTAATGGGCCTGGCCCTAATAAATTTTTTTTATTTATTATTTATAGCCAATTAATAAAATTTAAGACTTTTGCCATCCGACTGAGATGTGCCAAAATACAACCCACAAAAATTGATGAAATTTTAATTTTCTTTGTCATTGGACTGAGGTGGGCCAAAATACAATCAAACACCCTACCTGCCAGGCTAATTGGACATTCATGGGCCTCAGCACTACAGGCCGGGCCAAGTCTTGCCTCGACAGACAACATCATGTCCGGGTAATCCCATTGGTCATGGGCAATTTGATTAGTACTTAACCTATGGGGCATTTAATGAGTACCCATATACCTTCAAATCATCGATATTCACAGATACATCAGGAAACATGCACTGTTTTTCATTAGCGGCCTTCATCGCTGGTCTCACCTTAACAAGTCACCTTTCTTTGATCCACATTCCTACGACAAATGGTCCACGGTTGCATCAACAGCCTACGACAAATTCAACATGTTTTTCTATTTCAAGGAAAACTCCCATACATTATGGCTGCTGAATATACACAGTACAAATTAGAGCTGCTACCTAGACATGTAGTTTCCAACTCTCGAAACAAAAGGCTCATTCATGTATTCCACTACATTTAGAAAGCAAAAAAATATATATAAATACGCAGATATAATTAACAACTTTAACCCTTACGGTTTTACTGCCTTTGCTTCTGAGAAACAAAGCGAATTCCTTGCTTCCCGAGTTCCAAATTCTTGGCCCTTCCATTATCTAAAGTTACAGATACAATTGTTGTGCCTTCAACCACATCTGTTACTGTTCCTCTATGCCTGACAGGATGCAAAATTTATATTTCAGCTCAAAATACAACAATAAAATACCTACCCACAAAATAATAGAACGTTCAAGGGAAGTGATGAGCGTGACATTAGTAAAATGGCCCAAGTTCCAAGAGCGGCTGACATACTTTCCATGTCCCACTTGCTGTCCTATATCTTTCATTCTTAATATTTCTAGGGAAACAAAGAGAGAAAAACAGGAAAGTGGCACTGACCAGGAGTTTTCGGATGACTGATGAACTTCTACTCTCTTTCCAATTGCATCTTTACCCAACTTCTGCAGTATCCAGTTAGCATCCATGATCTCATCCATTGAGTTTTCAAACCATTTTGGGGCATCTTCATCTTCATCTTCATCTTCATCTTCCTTGGCTGTTGTTTTCTCTATGAAGGGTGGTCTCTTTCTTTTTGACCTTAGGCCCTTGGCAAAACCTTTCTCATCCTCCCCAGGAATGCAGGAACTTTGGTTCTCATTATATGGATTCTTGAATTTAAGCTTCAGTAACGGTTTGGTATCCTTTGGCAAAGTATGTGAGACTGGGGGTATGGGAATAGTATCATCATTCAAATCGCCTGATCCATCAAGCTTACCTTTTGTGTACTCCAGCATAGATATCTTTTCACCTCTTGAAGCGACTTCAGTTCCAGGCTCTGCTGTAGCTGTGCTTCCCACAGTGCTTCGCTTTCCAAACATAACACGTGTGTTTGCAGAAGAAACAGAATCAAATCCATCAGCAGGTTTGGCAGTCATTACAGAACCGTCTGAATTAACTTTTTTTATCTTTATCAAGTTTATCTCTCTTCCTTTGAGCTTTGCACCTTTAACTTGGTCAGAGTAATCCATTTTATCTCCTGCAAGTTACAAAAAATAAACCATGTTATTAATTATAAAGGATGTAGAGAAATATCTTCTGTAAATAAATGACAGAAATGGTAGCATGATGAGTGATGAAGGGGCGATATTGTTGCAGAAAATGGTAGGAGCCCCAATACATTTTTCATCACCAAATTGTAAACAAATTTTATGTATTAACCAAAAAACTCAAAAAAAATAAAAATGTAGAGGATACCATTTGAAGTTGTCAATTCTTGCTCTCTTTGACAGCTTGAAGTATCAGACATCGGAGAGTTAGTTGCATTTTTACTTCGAGCACCTATATGTATTACTAGCTTTGGTCCCTTGGTGGTCTTGGACTTGCTAACATGTTTTCCAAAGTCCTCCCCAATTTCCAATGCATGAGATTTGTTACTCTTAATTTCGCCTGTTCTGGATGACCTATTTTCGTTGTTCCGTGTAACCTCATCAATGAACTTGTGCTTCAGGACCCCTGCCTGATTAATTGAGCATATGCCCTCACTCAAACTTCCAGCAATGGGAGAAGAGAAAATTTCAGGTTTTGCAATTTTTTGGCCCTGCATTTCATGGTTCTTGTTGTCACCAAAGCTGTATCCAGATGATGGGGCATCACCATGCCCTTCAAAACTCTGGTGTGCTTCTGTTTTACTGATTAAAGATGCCTGATGCCCCGTTTTCTTACCATATTTCTTATTTGATGATTTCTTTCCATATACCTTGCTCTTTTTTGGTGATTTATCAACCGATCCTTTAAGAGAGAACTTTACAGAGCGGCCATAATCATTCTTTAATAAAGTTGGCCCGGTTTCTTCGTCATCTGAATAAGGTGAAATAGAAAATATTTCTTCTTGAGTTGGCAATCCAGCAGCTGCCCTCAAGCTTGCAATTAAATCCCGGTCAGCTGTGTCTCTCCTCTTCCAAAGCTCCTGAACAGCATCCTCAAGATCCCTAACCTGCCAATTTAAGGTGAAAATAAAACTTTGTAGTTAAGTTGCAAAAAATTCTCGTCCCAAAACTATAAGGTTTCACATCCACCTGATAGCAATCTCCACGACATGTGGCACATACATATTGGAGATTTCCATCTACTTGAAACTGCAAATACTTTTCATCACTGCAAGGATAGTTCCACCAGGTGTAAACAATCTTATAACTGAAATATCAGATATATCATACAATGAAAGGATAGTTTGAACAGAGTGTAGGCAAAATATCAACTGTTAGACTTATGAACAGGAAATCATTCTAAGAAAGCTCAACGAGAAATTCCACTCAAGACACATTCTTATAACTTGATCCTTGAGTTCTTTAAAACCTAAAATTCACTAAAGATGCAATTCGATCTGCACAAGGATTTCCAAATATATCTTTTCTATTAGTATGCTCTGCATCATCCAATGTTATTAACAATATTGAAAAATTGAACTCAACATAATAAATATAGATAACAGCAAACACTCAATAAAACGATGGATGGACTACTTGCAATAAAAAAATAGGGCAGAATTCATCTATGAGACTCAATTTGTAAACAAGGAGAAAAGCAAACCTAATGCCATCACACTGGCAGTGCACCCAGCGCTGGCAGACATCACAGCAAACCATAGGGGTTGATTCAGAATCTCTGTAGACCTGCAGTATTTGAGTCAAATAGATGGTCAACATCTTCTGCATAGGCATTCATGGCAACTGTATCAAAATTTGAAGGGATAGATGACCACTCAGTGTGCATGGCTATTACCATCCTAGTACTAACTTTACCAGGAGACAAACCATTTAACATTTGAAAATTAGATATACAACCAATTTGAAACCAATAACAACACATGGGGGAAAAAAGGATGCACCATCATCAAGACAACAAACCGATACCTTCAAGCATACAGGACAATAATTTCCTTTCACAAACAATCTTCCACAAGCATCACAGCAAGTGTACCCTAGGAACCACCTGCAACATTTCAAAGCAATGACATATCAAGCTCCTATGGAAAGAGATGAATTTTTTTTTCCTGACAAGTAAAGAACAAGGATCATAAAAAGCTGAAACCAATACCATAGTGACTCACTTTTTATCAAGTTAGGAGTTCTAATACAGCAAAAAATCACCAAGTCATTAAGATACAGCCAAAACACAAATTATAAAAAAATAAACAAGCTCATATTCAAACAATTATGTATACCGAATCTTACTCCTAGATGTGATCTCCTGACACAAAATGCAGGTATATAAGACATGTTGGACAAGAAATATGAAAAGTTCTGAATCAATCAATGCTAACAAACTATACCTTACACTTAGGCCATTTCCTGGAACGTTAGATCCACAGCTGTGGCACCTTGTATGTTTAGGACACAAGTAAGGTCCGCTGCTAACATTCTGCGCTAGTACAAATATAATAGTGACATTGCACATTGAACAAGGAAACGCAAAAATTAGGTACTAAACACTCCCTTGCGGACAAAGCAGTCGTAGCACAAGAGGGGGCTTTAGGGGTTCAATTGGAAGCAATTGAAGAAAAAACACCCACCTTGTGTGGAGGCTGCTGACAGTAACAATGGTATGCAGCATCACACCTTTTGCAGAATGTAAATTTATTTGGATCCCCAGTTCTTCGGCAGACCTAGTGTAAATGATACAAGTCATGGAAAGAGTGACAGTGTGAATTTAAAACAAAACCAAAGGTGGCCATTTTCATAGGACTAGTTTGACCTTTGGTAAAAGCACGAAATACAGATGCCAAGCATCATAAGACATCATACATGTTAATTGGATACCAGACAAATCAGCACAACTGAGGTGGTAGGACAGAGTGACATTCAGGAAACTCAACAATCCAAGCAGACAAGGGTAGGCATAAATTCCATAATTGAACCCATCGAGAAATAGATAGCCATGACTCGACAGTGAGAAGTAGCTATCTTATAACATAATAGTCTGAATAAATAAAGGATGACAAGTCAGTTTCATATGGAACCTGCATTGTATGCCATATGGAAAAAAATTGGTTACTAAGTTATACAGAAGGCTTTTTTCACATTTTTTCCTAATAGAATGATTGTATTTTGTTACTAAAGAAGTATATGGATAATTACCTCACAGATCCGACAAGAGGGGCAGGTCCATGAACTCCAATGAAATAGATCTGAAAAATGAGTTTTTTAATCACAAAAAGAAACCAATGCAATACAACATTTGGGCCACGAACCATACCTCTATGTTGAGCCCAAGCTTTCAGGCAGCTTCTGTGATACTTCTTTCCACAACTTTTGCAAGACAACATCGTCCTTGCTCTCTCACTCCCTTCATTTTCACCAGAAAAACATAGCCTGCACATGACTTTGACATTGGGACTGACCCGCGGTCCTCTCCTTCAAGATTCATTGGCAGAGCCCTGCATGCAAATAACAAGTTTGATAAGCTATGTCCCAAAGCAAATGTCTTCTGAATTAAAGAAGACCAGACAACACATAAAGTTATG